GCGCGCGGCCAAGTCCCCCCAAGAACGTCTCCTCGTTCTTGCGGAGCACAATAACCTTTTGTTAGCGTTGTAAGTTAGGTTAACTTAATTAACTTAACTTCAATGACTGAGCGAATTAACCTACCTAGATCTCACGGTCGTATCAAACCTAAGGGTTTATCGCTTGTATCATTTAATATTCACGGTTTGCGAAATAACCTCCCAGAGCTCAAGCTCTTTCTTCGGAATCGTGAAGTCGATTTCCTCCTCCTACAGGAAACTAATCTCAAAGCTAAGGACACTAGAGGCCTTTCTATTAAAAACTTCTCTCTTCTTCGTAACGACAGACCCGACCGCCGAGGCGGCGGAACGGCCATCTATTACAAGAAGACACTTCATTGCTCGCCCATTTCTACTCCGCAGCTTACCAACATGGAAGCCACGGTATGCAGGCTAGCTATGACTGGACATCAGTCCATCCTCATAGCCTCCTGTTACATCCCTTCAGGAACCTATCCCCTCAAAAAGGATTTTGAGGCCATTTTATCTTTAGGCAATTCAGTCATTATGTTTGGAGATTTTAACTCCGAGCATACTGAATGGACATGCCGCACTACGTCCCCTAGTGGCAAGATACTGCTCGATATCACGCAGTCTCTTGATATTACCGTCCATAGTCCTCTCGGTGTTACTCACTTTCCCGATAACACCGATCACGCCCCCGATGTGTTAGATTTTGCGCTACTCCAAGGAGTATCTCTCAACCTCGGAGCAATCGAGACACTAGACGATCTAGGATCAGATCACCGACTGGTCTCCCTCATTCTTGGCCATCAGCCACCTCCCCCAACACACACGAAAACCTTCACTAACTGGAAGGGATTCAAGGAGTCCTTAGCTAAAGCTTTGGACTCACAGGACTCTACCATCTCCCTACCGTCGGACTTAGATAGTCCCGAAAAAATCGACACCGCGGTCGACTCACTCTCCACCCTTATTAAATCCTCCCTTAAGGAGAACGAAAGGGTCGTCCCGGTTGCTAACAATAGTGGGCTTCCCCTACATATTAGCAACCTATTAAAAGCCAAAAAAGCTGCTTTCCGGAGAGCAGCAAAATATCCCACCCCCGAATATAGGCGCGCGGCCAATCGTCTTCAACGAGAACTCCGCTTCCGCCTCTCTGTATTTCGAGACCTCGAAAAGAGTAAGCTCATGGAGAATATCTCTCCATCTCACACAGCGTACTATCAGATGGCTAGAGCCCTCCGCATAGACGCTATCACCCACACTCCCCCTCTCTCCCATACCGACGGCACGGTTGCCTTCGAGGACGAGGAAAAGACTGAGTGCTTTGCAGATAGCATTGCCGCTCAATGCTCTCCCAGTTCTCAACCCGTCGACCCCTCACACGTCCAGGCAGTGGAGGATGAGGTCCGCCGCCGGAACTCACACCCCACGGCCTCCGAACCTATCTCTGTGTCCAATGATGAGATCTCATCCCTCATCAAAGGACTTAAGCCTAAAAAGGCTCCACTTTCCCGAGCAGGTGTTAACCTTTTTATCTATTATCTTCAACGCCTGCTTCAACCTTAGTTATTTTCCCACTACGTGGAAAGAGGCTACTGTGATTGGAATTCCCAAGCCAGGCAAGCCTCTCAACCTCCCCCTCCAGCCATCGCCCCATTAGCCTCCTCAAGGCAATGGGCAAGCTCTTCGAAAGAGTCATCCAAATTCGTATGAGGCGCTATCTGTTTCCCACAGACGGCGCCCCTCTGATCATTCCCCAGCAATTCGGCTTCCGAGCCAAACACTCATGTCCCCAACAAATTCACCGCATTGTGGAATATATCCTCAGCGGTTTCTATCCTCGTCGTCATAAGACCATCGCGGTCTTTTTCGATATAGCCAAAGCTTTCGATAGAGTCTGGCACACAGGCCTCATCTACAAGCTCTATAAAATAGGTCTCTCCGATCGTCTAGTTCGTCTCGTGGCCTCCTATTTAAAACATCGTACCTTTCGTTTCAGACACGAAGGCACGCTTTCTTCACAGCGAACTATCAAGGCTGGTATCCCTCAGGGCTCAGTACTTGCTCCTCTGCTGTACATCCTGTTCACCAACGACATTCCCATCCCGTCGAAAGGTGTTCAACTCTCCCTCTTTGCAGATGACACTGCCATCTACTGCAAAGGTGTCTCACTACCCCTTATACGGAACAAGATCCAAAAGTCAGTTGATGACCTAGGAGCTTGGTTCAAAAAATGGCGCATCGATGTGAACCCGGAGAAGAGCTCCGCCGTCCACTTCGATTATAAACGACGCCGTCTCAAAAACACTCCACCAATACGTATGCTAGGGACCCCTGTCCCCTGGCATACGACCACCAAATATTTAGGTGTCACTCTAGACACAGGGCTCACTTTCAAGCCCCACGTCAAAAGAGTAACCCGTCACGCACGGTTTTATCTGAGTAGGCTCAACAGTATGTTGGGCCGACACAGTAAAATGTCCCTTCGAAACAAGCGTACCCTCTACAAGGTATGTATACGACCAGTCATGTCCTACGCGGGCCCCGTCTTTGCCCACGCAAACCCTAACATTTTAAATGAACTCCAAATAGTTCAGAACCTCTTCTGTCGTCGAGCTGCGAACGCACCGTGGTACGTCCGCAATGCCGACCTTCATCGGGACTTAGAGCTCCCAACAATTCAACAATTTCTTAAAAAACTCTCTGAGAACTTCTTCAAAGCCTCAGAGTCACACCCAAACCATTTAATTCGTGAGGCAGCTTCCTATGCAGCCCCATCCCCCTCTCGCTATCGTGTCCGTAGGCCGAGAAACTCTCTCTCGGACCCGCCTAATAAACTTTCAAACGACCTGAACTGTCTCCTGGCGGCTCAGGCCAACTCTAATTAAATAAAATTATTGTAATATCTAACATTAATTTGCCTTCGTAGGCACTCCCTCAGCGGCACTTAGCCGCCTGCGCCCTCTTTTCCCAAAAGAGGGTCGCTCATGATAAGGCACAATAGAGCTTAATCAGCCGGTTGCCTGTCCCCAAAGGCGGTTTTTAGAGGGTATCACTTAGGGTCCCCGGTAGGACAGTGAGCCCCTCATAACCACGATAGACCGGCTATCGTGGTATGCGTAATGCATTTTCCGCCTCCCTACGTATAGGGTAGCCCTTTAATTGCTTCGGGCGCAAAAAAAAGAAAAAAAAAGTATCTACATTTATTACATTTATAACAGATGTGTTTGTTACCCCTGAGGACTAAGATAGAATGCCTTGTATCTATTAAAAAGGGTTTCAGGTTCTCTACACTCACCATACGAAAAACACCAGCATTAAGTTGCTATTTATGTGAACGTAGAGAACCGGAGACACTTTTTACTGGAAACGAGGCATTCCATCTTAATCCTCACGGGTAACAACGTACCTGCTTTTTGCTGCATTTTGATTTGTAAGCGAGGATAGATGTAGATGTCTATGGGCCGCAGCAACCACTTGTCATCAGGTGGACTGTGTGACGGTCGCGCCGAACCATTCGTACTACAACTATAATAAGCCTGCAGTATGGCTCCACCACGTACCATGTATGTTATATCTATACGTTCAGTGGTGGTCTTTTTTAGATTGTAATGGATGGATAAACAAATTAATAGTGATATGAATGTGTGGATAGTTATAGTAAAAAACGTTTACAAAGAAAATAATGTTCTACTTCAAGAGATCTATTTTCATTGACGCATTACACAGCAAAGTACCGAACACAGCTAAAGAGCGAGTCATTCACGAGGATCGTAAAGCCGTCGAGCGATATCCATTTGAATTAAAGCGGAAAGCTGACTCCTCCGCTTTAAGGCGTTAAGGTTTAGTCTTCTTTTAATATTAAGAAAACTAAGCGACTTTATTTTAAAACGATACCTAATCTAGATAAAAATGTACCTAAGCTAAGGGAGGTAAAATAGGAGATGAAGTTTGTAATATAAATATTAGAAATAATACGTATAAGAATTTCACATTCTTAAGCTGGGGTTTCTTTTCTTTTCTGTGTACAGTGTAGATAGAGTACAATGTGCACTATGTCTTAGTGCTAAGACATAGTGTTATATAACATAGTGTACACTATGTCATAACACCGATGTCAGAATGTGAAACTATTTTAAACTTTTTAATTCTTTATCTTTTAATTATTTTGTGTCATTTCTGTTTCTTTTTTATTACCTATTTACATTACATATAATTTTGAAGAAAAAATTCATATCTAAGAATGGAAAATTAGGGGATGAGAATTTTATTATAACTAAGTATTTAGGCGTCGCTAGTTGTTAACCTGCCTATTGCTTGACCTTTGCGAGAGTGGAAAAATAAACTTTTTGAAAAGAAACACTTCAAAAATAAAAAGAATACTATGCATGCAGTATATCTTATATATTTTTATAAAATTAAGGCAAAGTTTTAAATATCTTCTTCTAAATCAATGGAGATCATTAATTGATATTAATGATCTCCATTGATTTGTCAGGAAAGTTTTAAATATAATTAATATCAGGTCTTTTTAAGGGAATAAATAAATATGTTTCTTGTGAATTTGCACAGTTTTATAAAATTTCAAAAATATATCAGGAAAAAACAGACTTATATGTGTCAAACATCACATGCACACTGTCCTTTTAGGACTGTTGGGTAAAAAGAAGCTCCAGGATTGGTTTTCCAATGGTCAGATAAAAGTTATCCATCAAATAAGCCTGACTGAATGTATTTGTGAAACAATTATAACTATTTTATTTCTACAACTATAATTATTAATTTGATTATGTTGCATTTTATTATGTGAATAAATTTTATCTTAAGATTAAAAAATCGGCCTTGGATGCATCGAACTATATTAATATACGAGTAGTAATATCTCAATGCCTGGATGTAATTTTGCGGTAGTACTTATACATAAACTTATATGAATATAAGATAGAATTATTTCGGAGAATCACCGCGCTTACATCTTTAGAAACTCGATAAAAATGCAGGTGAAGCAAAACGAAATAAATAATATTCTGCAGCACGGATCTTCAAAAGTGAAGCCAAGTCGTTCATGTCAAGGTCATTCTTATTATTAAATAGATTCTTACGTCATTTGTAGTCGGTTTCATTTTTGTTTTATAAGGAAGAAGCACAACATTATGAAAAACGTAGGTACTGTTATTAAACCAAGCACTTGTTTATCAGGATTAATTGCGTAGAATTTTAATGGAATAATAAATCCTTTATAACCTTTCCGAAGATTCAATTTTTTAGAAAAGTCAATTTCAACTATTATTTTAATATAAAAAATTATAAGTTTCTGAATTACTTGAATTTAGAAATATATAATAATATATTTTTTACTTTGTCAATATGTTAGCAATATCTTATAATAATAATATTAATATTTTTAATTTACCTTTAATAAATTATCCAACATTTTTCTTTTCCATGTTTGACTGGTGGAGACTGCCACATGGCATAATAACAATAATTAATAATAATTATTATTTATTTATTTCTCACCACAAACGACATGGAAGATACATAAGTCCGCTCATTGGTTAATCTTACTTTTGGATCACCAAATGTAAAGTTTAAAATGTTTACGTTCTAATAGTCCACTGCTGAACGCCTCTCCCCTTTTAGAAAGAATTTCCCGTAATCGTAACGTGAATAACCCCTAACGCTGCTCTCTGTCGCAGGTCTGAGTTTATTTCATGAGATGGTATACCACCACCTGTCGGATGGCATGAGATCTGTCTGGTCTTTCCTATAGTCGCCAGTTAATGTTCTTCAGACCGAATTTCGGTTACGGCGACCAGTCTCATAGGATCTTAGCTATCTACATAGAACAGGTTCACAGTGCACGTGTGTGTGCGCAAGCACAGGTGCACCATCCGTTCCCTCACTGTCATAGTCCGATGTGATGACAATCCATAGTGACCGGAGGGAGATCAAGCCCAGGGCCAACAGCTTTACATGCTTTCAGTAAGTGCTCGTAGTTTCAGAGACATAGCGGCTGAAATCCCGCTAACTTCTTGACTCCTGGTTGTCATTGAGAACTTCTTGACAAAAAAATCCAATAATTAATTTTGGCCCGAGCCGGAAATCCAACCCCAATCGCTCACACGACCACTAGACCACTAATACACACACGGTTTACTCGTAATGTCTATTACAATGTATCTATTATAACGAATTTTGTAAAAAAATCAAGCTTAATTTTACTTTTTTGACTTAATAAGTAGTTAATAATTAGTTAATAAGTAGTAACTCAAAAAAGGGTAGGCTAGAGTACATATAGTCAACCCAGATAAATGACGATATAAACTAAATTATTATAAAAACTTATGCAAAAATTGTTGTAACGTTTCGGACGTTCTTATAAAGTAGGTACCTATATATTTCGTTAAAATTTTTAAAACGAGTTCCATTAAAATAATTATTTTCAGGAATTGTTTTTTTTTCTCAACAACGATACTCTGTTCATTTCAACATGTGATTTTATGTAAATAAAAAACAGTGTTTTTTAAACATTTTCTAACGGTATTGCTCTATCTCTATTTGTATCTGATGTTTCGAAACAACTATAATATATTGTATATACATAAGATACAAATTTACTATATTAATTTGGTAAATATATTATATAAAATAAAAATCGATACAAATGGCGTTATTTTATATTTTTATTTAATCAGACTAAAGAAATATTTTTGAAAAAACTCTTATAATCTAATTTTCTCAAAATGCATGTATAATCATTATATATATATATATAAAAAAAAAATTATATATATATATATATATATATATATATATATATATATATATATATATATATATATATATATATATATATCCCCGCCGGCAGACTGCCTATATAGGATTACTTTTCTTCATCACTCTTTTATTAGAATCATTTTAAATGCGAGACTTTAAGTTTGAGTATAAACGAATTATTTATTATAAAATGAAATATTTATACTTCGTTTCGTAAATTAAATCTACTTCAGGACAGTATTTTTTGCGCATTTACTTATTAAAATATTTTTATTTGCAAATTCATTCTATTCAACACTTCATTGCGTATATTTACGTAATCAAGCCATTTTATGTAAAATCTTATGCTAATATGAACAGTCAATAATTACCACCGAACTGTATAAGTTCCCTAAAAATCTACAGAACCATAAATAACAATTATTATTACTCGAAGCTTCTTATTCATATAATATCGGAAGCGGCAACCTGACCTTCTACCTGATGGTTAGTGGCAACTGAAGCGCATGGATACCTGCAACAAACTTCAATCAAAGAAGGTTACAGATACGGTGTATCCTCCACCTCCCGCATAACCTGTAATTATGGCTGGCTCACCATACACTTAGTAATAGTGGAAGCACTGCTTTTTGGCGGTGGAAAAAGTAAAATGGGGGTTACTATCCTAACAGACTCGTAGCCAGATAGAAAATCTCTATCCATTTATTCATTACAGCGTATCAAAGTCCACTGGTGAACATAGGCCACCCCCATAGATTGCATCAATCAGGTTGGCAACCGCTGTTTTTCATTATTTTGAGTTGTTATCAGGAAGATATGCTTTCACCCATCACTTTTTTCAGTTTCCTTCTGTTGTCTATTACGATAGCCACGGGACGATATGGGGTAGTGAATATTCTTCCACCGGAACCTAGGTAGGTAGATATGGTATGTAGATTTACTATAATAGCCAATAAAAGGCAGTAAAGGGCAGTCTCCCATATTAATTATTATTGGGCCGCTTATCAGGCGAGCTGGCGTTCGCTTTGCTAATTCAATTGAATGAAATATGTGAACGGCAGAATGTAAAGTATATCATGAAACATTTTTTTTGTTTCAGCAGTAACCATCGCTGAAGCCCAGAACCAAGACTACAAGGCCCAGAGTTTAGATCTCATTCGGATGCTAGCAAAGAATCCGTGGATCGCTTTGACCTCTCACAATCGCTGGATTCGCACACAGCGCACGGACCCGGAGCTTGAAACAGACGCTGACCAGACAGATCCCAAAATTACCCAAGACAGCGACGAAGATATTTCAACTAGCTACGATAATGGCGACTTAAGGTAACTTTTTGTTGTTTGTTTTTATTACTTCTTTAATAAAGGTTAAATAAGTTCAAGTAAAATGAAGGTCATTCTTATACAAGCGGGTACCCAGCGTGTGCAACTATGCTAAAAAATACATTTTGTTTATTTCTTGGAAAAAATTATTTTTTTATTTTAATTTTTATACAGTGTCTAATGCATTGTTTTGGTGGTCTAAAACTTTCTTTCTAATGAAATTGGTTTGGGGCACATCCAATCGAGGCTATTATGGTTTCAAAGTCTAGAACGGACATAGGTAGAAACTTTTTGTGTTTTATATACATACATAGATATTCTGATGAAACAGTGAGGCGCAACCGGTCGGGTTTTTACAATTAGTTTAATAATAATTCATAATAAATATTGTGAAACTAGTACAAGTGTTGTTCTAAATCACAAAAATGAAGCTGAAGTTTAACCAACTGACAAAAAGCAAGTATAAATTATAAATTAAATAAACTCTATCCGCACACAATGGATTCTTGATTTAAAGTTTCTATGTCACCTAGAAAGGTGGCATAGAAACTTGAAATCAAGAATCCATTGTAACATCATCCATCAAGTGGTAGGTTTTTGCTGAAATAAGATCATCAACCATAAATTCCTAAAGAGATATTACGGTATGATCGGACTATAAATGCTCTATAGGTACTGAATGTATAGTGCCGTACGCTTTTTAATTACTGATAATGATTAATTGCGTAAGCAAGAGAGCATGTTGAACATCCGCTCTCACACTATTATTATTTTTAACAATTAATCCTCTGATGTATTACCGACACATTTATATAATTTGTTTCTTTTTTATCGCAGTTTCGATACAGGGAAGCGGTCGGCACTGGCGACAGCTCTGAACGCCGGTCGGCGTAGAAGGCGGCCGACGCCAGCGCTCGGTAAGGCAGTCACGCCGTATGTCGGCGTCGGTAAGCAATGCCCTTAGAGGCTCGGTGTGTGTGTTTGTGTGTGCATAACTTTATCCCCTATATATTTTACGTGGTAGAGCCACGCTGCAGCTATATTATGGTTGTAGCGCGAATGGGTCGGTTCGACGGGGGAGGACTACGCTTTCACAGAATACGAGTGTAAAATAGCAAATCGATGTTGCTGTGCTTCGTATGGTCAGTGTAAAGGACTGGAGGACCCTTTTTACTGGAAACTACGCATTCCATATTCGTCTTCAAAGGTGACAACGAATCTACATTTTGATACTTAATTGAGAATAGATGTAGATGTCTACAAGTTAAAGCAACCACTTACCATCAGGCGGACTTTGTGCTCGTTAGTCACTCTTCTTCTATAAAAAATATCTTATCAACGACATCATTGGTTCATCCATAGTTACAAGTCCACAGCTGGACAAAGAACTTTCCAAGAATATGTCAGCTGACACGTATTTGATCGGAAGATTTGCCTAACCTTACTACACTGGAGAGGCGGGTGGGTGAGCAATGAATTTTGGCCTTTAGAATGACAATACTTCATCAGCAGTCTGCAAAGTTAAGGTTCACTGTGGGTTGCTATCATATTCATCCAGAAAATTAGCATATTGCTCCTTACGCCGAATGTATCGAATATCGAAATAATATTTAAAGCCAATCATACACTCCCTGTGCATTATGTCAAGATCGCAAAATATTTGCCAAATTTTAAAAGTATTGTAGGTATTAAATAAATGGGGAAGGCTTCGGTGGACATGATGTTAGCGAAAAAATTTTAAAAGGCGTATTTAAATTTATTAAATTGCATTTTTACCTGGTGAACTGGTGGTTAGAACCGTGGTTCTACCTGAGTTTGTGAGTTGTAGCACGTATGGGTCGGCTTAACCGGCGACCACGCTCTCACAGAATACCAGCGTAAAATAGCAGCTTGGTACTGTTGTGTATCGTATGGTGGGTATAGAGATCTGGAGATGCCTTTTTACTGGAGGCGAGGCATTCCATCTTAATCAAGAGTGGCAGTGCATCTGCATTTTAATTCGATTATTAAGATAATTTAAGGATAGATGTAAATGTCTATGGACTGTAGTGTCCGCCACCCTTATTCTATTAAAAAAAGTTATGCAAATAAATAACAAAGCGAAGTAAAGAAATTGACTGGGTTTTTTTTAATTTGTTTTGCTGTACCTGTAGTAAGTAGTAGTGGCACAGAATAAATAATGTAGTAGTAGTAAGCAGGCGGATTGGCAACCGGAGTTTTTTTTTTAATAATTGTTATTAGGAAGAAGTTTGTTCCTTTGCCGCCTTTTACGACACACACGGGAAATAGTAGGCGCTACATATTAATGAATGGTAATCAGTTAAAATAATGCATTTTCACTCACTTTGTATATAAACGATGAAAAGGACAAGATGTTAGAGTTTTTTTCTTGTTTATTTTTTTCACCATTTCCTTATATTACCTATTCTGAACCTCCTATGCATGAAGGTTAGAGAGAAGGAGAACGAACGCTACGTGCTAAAGCATAGCCCGCCTGTCCCTGAAAATATGTAGAATTTATAGCCGCGCTGCCGTCGGTAAGTAGTATGTGCGAAGTTAGCTATTTATGAGTACAAGTAGATGAAGTAAGTTGAATAATGTACAAATTTAATCTAAAAATATAATATAATAATATAGTAAAAATTAATCGAAAATAATCGTGTTCCTTAATTTTTTATTTTAGGAAAATAAATAATACTAAACCAATAATAATTAGTAATTTATATTTGTAATATTTATAAAAGATTAATTAATTTATTAACAAATAGTAATAATTTCGTTATTTTCTTTTTTTTCTTTGAATTTATGTTAAATGTTGATATATCATTTCAAACTAGCGCAAAACAGCCCGCTTTTATTGAGACAACTTACCGACCGCAGCGCCTCACTATTTTGTCCATATTTCTGGGACACTATTTTCTACAGCGATCGTTCTCCTTCTCTTTAACCTCCATGCTACTATGATTGATCCGTCCATTGCTGAACATAGGCATCTACTACTATCATACTACATCTACATAGCTTGACTTTTATAATATCATGGAAGTTTGCTATTGTTGCCACACTTGGAAGGTGGTTTGGCAACCGCAGTTTTTATATTATAATTCGTATTGCGGGATACAATGAACCCCTTCTGCATGCATTGACGACCCGTATAGTCTGTGGACGTCGGTGGCTTAGTAAAACGATCTCTAGAGTGCCTGTAATTATACTAACGATGCAGGAGTTTAATTCTAGATGCTGCTTAAAGCATAAAATAAATCTCAAACCATCATTCTCTGCAAATTCTGTCAAGTACTGTAAGTAAGCTTGTTCGTAGGTATGCTGAACGACGTGGGTTCATTCTTCAACACCTTGCGGGATAATTTAGAAACTCTGGCTTCGCTGTCGCCTCAGCAGCAGACGACCCTATTCCACGAACCTCCGCACGTTCTCCAGGCGGCTTCTACCGGTGAGTAGTATATTCTTTGACCGTCGCAATAATTCTACTTCAAATCCAAACTAATAATATATAAAAATAGTATATACTTTTAAGCAATATTGTAGTATGGTGCATAATAGTGTAGTTAGTTTAGTGTAGGTAGTTAGTTAGTGTAGTGTAATATATAGTGTAGTTAGTTTTTTAAGTAGATTTTTCGAAGTGTTCCTAATTATTGCCAAAACTTGTTTGTTTTTCTTCTTAATATGTTAGTTATAGTATACGGCATTGTGGTTTTGTCTCTGTTCAACTCCTAGTTTTGGCTTTATAGGGTGGCAAAACTTAAGATGACCATATTACCCTCACGTACCTTAATAAATAAATAATTTTCATTTCTTTTTTACACGTGGTTGTCTCTACCACTGCTGTAACGTATTGTTAGGAGCTTAGGGTTCGTGACAATAAAAACTGCCGATTGAATTACCGAAATTAACCCTTTAATTACCGAACACCAATTAAAACTTAAAAAAACACTAATAATTAATCACACTAATCACTTTTAGTTCACTTTATTTCACTCCGAAGCTTCGCTTGTATCGCCCAATTCAATACTGCCGCGATCGCGGCTTGCCGCGGCTTTGAATACACCTTTTCCACCGAAACATCCAGAATATTCCAGCAAATACGGACGCTGACCGACCAGGCGCAGAAAGTTCGAGTGTGGGGCTTCTAGAAACCTTAATTCTTCTGTCCGATACTAGATGGCGCTGTTGGTGGAAAGTTCAAAATTGACATTTTCTAGGAAGCCCTCCTCGCTCTTGTCCCCGACACTAGATGGCGCTAGTGCCGGGTACTGGACGTCAACTTAGACGCGCAACAGTATTAATGCTGCAAGGCCTATGACAGTAGGCGACAACGTTCCTTTTTTATTCTTTCATGAAACTGAAGTGACGTAACAAACTCACAGTCCACTTGATGGTAAGTTGTCAGTTGTCACCTCTGTGTACTTAGAAGGAATGCCTCACAGCCTGTAAATATACTGGCTTTCTAAAGCCTTTAGACCGGAGCACAGCAGTCCACACACTGATGCTTGGCGGCAGCATTGAGGTAATACTCCTACGTACAGAGAAAACAACGCCTTGCATGATTTTGCGGTACACTGTACCGCAACTGTTTAGTGAGTGTCCAACGCCCGCACAGACGAGTCGTGTTCGCTTCACATAAATAACAACTTCAAAATGCCTGGTATTGTGCTTAAATACTGCAGTAAACACCCCAGAACATCAAAAAAAGTGATGGTTTAACATTTTATCTATAAGTAGACATCAAAACGTTTAAAACTCTTTGATATAAAGCTTTTCGCGTTGTTACAATGCTCACGAGGCAAAAGCGCCATGAAATTTCTGGCGCTTATGACGTTTTGGTCGCAAGAAAACTAATTCCTAATGCAAAATAGTGCTGCGTGTTTTAATAGTTTGGTTAGACGACGTAACTATTATTTTAGCGCTGCAGCGAACTTTGATTCTAACTCTTACCAAAATGAAGTTAACTTTTTGTTCGGGGTGTCTGTTCTATACGCTAGTAATATAGTTCGATGAGCGGCAGTACAAATAGTTAAGAGGGTGGTGCACCTTGATACTTAATCCCTTCTTACTGGATACGAGGCATTTAATCTTAGTCCTCAAGAGTAACGGTGCATCTACATTTCTTTGCTTTGCTTTTATTTAAAAATCGTTACACAAAATATTTTCTCGTGTACCGTGGAGACAGTTTACATACATAAATTGCACAAAGACCAACATCCAGACCTGGAACAACTACTTGTGGGCCATACAAATACATGTTCCGTGCGGGATTCGTACCCGCGGCCCCCAGCTCAGCAACTCATTGCTAAGCCAGTGCGCCACGGAGTAACGATAACGTGAGGACGGATAAGTAAGTTACGGTTTTATTTCTTTATAGTTAGATAGGTAGGTACTTACCGAACACACACGAGATTTAGATTCTTAATCTAGGATAAATATAGATGTCTATGGGCCACAGTATCCCTTTAACATCGGGTAGACTGCGTGCTCGTTTCCCTTTCTCCAATAGCGTAGCTGTGTATTCTGCTGTCATTGAGTCTCCAGAGCCTAGTTCATTAACACTGTACCGTGGCCTTTAAACACTTTTTAAAAAAATGATGCGGATATATTAGTGACCAGATAGAGTTCTTAAGGAACATCACCACAAGTGGATTCTATGAACTGATGGCCTATACAGCAGATAGAAGGAATATGTAGTGACGACTCCGTGGTGCAGTGGCTAACCAATGAGTTGCAGCGCTGAGGGCCGCGGGTACGAATCCCGTACGTAACATGTATTTGTGTGTCCTTCAAATAATTGTTCCGGGTCTGGGGTGTTTGTACTTGTGAAATTTATGTATATAAACTGGGCTCACGATACAGGAAAAATTCCTAGTGTGGAAGTATGGTTTCAAAATTTCAGTCATCTCCCAGAGAACTCATACTTGTGCCACTTAGTTATATTAGAGGCCCGGATATAGTTCCTTTAGAAATTTCACCGCAAGTCGACCCCACGGACCGATAGTCTCTACAACAAATGTTACAAACGTCTACGTTTTCTTCTTTCAGAGACTTATTCTTGCACCATCACAGAATGGGGGTAATCTGTGTGCGCCATTTACTTACTTCAGTCGCTTCTGACGCTGCCCCGGCTATATGTTAGTAATTTCTTGGAAACGGCTCTAACAATTTCGATTCAGTTCTGTATTTCGTTTTTTTATTTCCAAGTTTATCTAGATAGGTTTTCTCCCTGAGAAAATTGTAATAATATTTTAATATATCCTTATAAATCTTTTTTTAGATATATTTTTTTTGATTTTTCTTTAAATCGATAACCGAACCTTGGCTATCGATTTAAAGAAATATCTAACCAGATTTGTCACCTGGCAGTTAGTTTCTTTATAAAATAATTTTCCTACAATTTCTCGAAATGAAATGCAGGAGTTATTTTAAAAACCCTTATTTGTGAGATTTTATTACTGTAGCTCATCAAACTTTGAATCCTCTGGGTGATTCTCATCCCGATATTATGGGTATTTGTGGATTACGTTTGATTCAAACGCCATGCATTTGTTTGAATGATATGTATATTCATTGGTTGTAACTTGATTGATCATTTGAATGTGCATAAAAGTAAAAAATACAGTCTTTATACGTGCAACTGCTTGGATAATTTCTGAGGTGATGTAACATTTAATCTGCCGTGCAGCCCCAGTATGTGTTGGACTTCACATGACCTTGATATATAATAATACTAAGCAAAACAGCAATTAAAATTAAATTTGCAGTTTTATTGATGTCGGCGGGGATCAATCACACAATGCCTTCTGTCAAATGTACCGCGAGAGCATTACCACTACTATTATATACATTATTTGAATACGCTTATAACGCATTACGTCTCACGGGTATCACAAGAGGTGACTATGAGCAACTCTAAAGCATCTTATGTGTTTCGACTGATGTCTGTATAATCATCAAGTTTATGCTAGACGTAAAATACCCGGACCAGTGGTAAGAGGTAGTGAGTGTCAAAGATACAAATCGCTTGGTACTGCGATAGTGGATCCATCTGCGTGCGTGACGAGTAGGGTGAACCCTTCCTTCAACAGGAGAGGCCCTTATATAGCAGTAGACTTTGATGGAGAATATCAAAAAGACCACTGCGAATACTATACTTACATGTTATATTAAAGTACGTGAGGGTAATGTGGTCACCTTAAGCTTTGCCGCCCAATAAAACCAAAACTAGGAGGAAGACAGAGACAAAAGCACAAAGTCTTATACTATAACTATTATACTAAGAAAGAAATAGCAAACAAGCATTGACAATAATTGGGAATACTTCAAAAATTCAACTTTATAAAAACTAACTACACTAAATCCATACTAGAATCGGCTAAAATACATATTTACTCTAATATCAACTGTCAAAATGGCGTTGATAAAGCAGCGGTCTTTTGACCCTTTATTATTTGACCGATGAACAGCTATCGTATCACAAAGCCATCTATGCAAACAATGCTGTAATTTTTGGCCTCACGTACTATAGTTTAAAATAATTATGATAGAATAAACTGATAAAGAAAACAAGTGAAATAATATTCAACACGTAAATAAAACGCTGTACGACAATCCTATGATTAATTTAAAAATATTACACGATAATCGTATAAATCAAATAAAATAGTTCAATTCTTTCAACATTATATTTTATAACATTAAAATGAACCTACTCAGCTTTAGGGGGGGGCATTGTCCCGCATAGTCTGCTTTTATTGTTGATGATATTACAAGATTGGTGTAATGTTTTATAAGACGCAAATATCCTTATCATAACGAGGAAGTATTAGATTAAATACATATTTAATTTAAATTTAAAATTATTTTTTAAATTTAAATTATTCAAAATATATCGGACGAATATAAATGATTAAATCAATCGATAATCGTATAAATAAATAAAAATTAATCGTTTGATTATCGTATGAATAGACATTTCCTAAATAACAACGACGTTACGTCACAGTCACGCTTGACAAATGCAATATGGCGTCCTTGCAACACTTCCTCTACAAGTTAAAGGAAACTTTAATAATAATGTCATCTATATGAAGACCCGTGAGCTGAGTTTCGTCTGCGTTTTCCCGCTTCCCTTTTATTGAAGTTTGCGTGCATGATGACCTTAAATGAGTCTAATTTACACGCTTGCGGCGTCGGATTCAATGATGACATTAAGGCTCGGGGTACATGAATGCGGTTGTTATATTACAACTATAGGACATACCACATACAACCAATAGACCGATTTGGCGACATATTTTAAATGGGCCAAATTAAGAGTACCCTTAATTGACGAGCATGTATATTGTGAAAAAGCCAGAGAGGTGTGTCAGAATCATGTCAAATGGAAGTCCGCACTCTCTGCCTTTGGGTGACAAGCGCGAGAGTTTATGTACATGACCCATAAAAGACATGACTGTTCGTTTCCATTACATTAGATAAAAACAAATAATTTTTAAACTTGTCACCGATTTAATGGTTTAATTTCAAGATATCGCGTAGTATACCTTGTTGGATTTATTTCACATGATGTGGCTTTTGTAAGTGTTGCTGCGGTCCGAGTCCGATTACAAACTTGGACCACATTCGAGTACCGTGGTCCAAGGCTGTGGTAGGACCTGAACTTCAGACTAAGAGGTACGAGTGATCTAACTACAATTACTTTTAAATTCAGAGAAATTTTAATATGCTGCAATGAAGCAAATTTTTTTTAATTTTACGTCTATAAGTCTATCTACTGCATGTTGTAATCAAACAAATATCATGCCCAAAAATCAATTAAAAAAATATACAAATATACTTCTCAAAATTGTAGAAGGAAAAGACACAAGAATATATTATGTTCACTTCGAATATAAATTCGTACGAATATTTATATTAGTATGATACATTTTTGCATCGCATATTTGTCATTTGACCGTGACATTGAGTCTGTGAGTGAACACTAAGCTAAGGTCATCGTACTCAATGCACGTCATTCATTAATTGTGATTTTTCCTTTGGACACCGTAAGTAGGTACTGTGTTTGTTATTAGAAAAATATTGCTGCTTCTGCCTTTAACCTAGAAATTCTATAATTATTAGAGACAACTTACACGACAAATATTTCTGTCGTTAGTTAGTTTAGTGTCCGTAAGCGCCACTCCTGACCATGTTGTCCATAACAAATCGAAGGTTCTGGATAATATGGTCATGTCCAAACGTATATAGATATGGTACAGTTACTAGGTTTTTCTGTCAAGAAGTACTCAGTAGCCACCTGGGGTCCGACAGTTGGCGGTGTTCTCTCACCCGCGCCTCGGATAGCACGTAAAGCCGTAGGACCTGCGCTTGACCTCTTTCCGGTCGTGTCGCATTACTGTCTCTTTGGACTATGAGAGTGAGGAATTAGAGAGTGCACCTGTACTTGCGCATTCACTCGGGTGCTATAACCCTATCCTGCAAAGGTGACTAGTGTCCGTTGAGAATGGCCGCTATGACCGAATTGATATTATGTGACTATAATATGATTTAATGAAAGTAACTGATTGTTGTGTGCTCATTTTTTCCAAGTCACATAATAATTTTATTTTTATGGGACTTTTATTATATTGTTTGAATGTAATGAGCAATGTCGTGAAGTCATTGAATCGTCAGTAAAGTTGACAACAAACAAATAACAAAAAAAAATAAGACCGATTTTTTACAGAAAAAGTGTGACAAACGAACACACAGTCCACCTGATGATAAGTGGATGCTGTAGACCATAAACATCCACATCTATTCTTATTACCGCTACAACATATCAAAAATCCACTGCTAAACATAGGCCTGCTAGAGATATAATTTATTTAAAAAATGCGGGAAATAAATAGGGTAGTAGGTACTTTTAGGTTAAACATCATAGGAAAAGGTTAAATATCATGTGATCAAAACTTTCCTGTAGAGTTCACCTTGATTTTTGTTGTTGTAAATCATTTTCCTTACAAACATCTTCCTGGTCGCTGTTTTTGTTGTTAACGATTGAGGAAAAGTTTTTTAATTCATAAAAACAAATATTATGTTACAGTGTCGCGACATTTGATTCATAATTAGATAGACTGGGACTGGAATATTAAAATCGCATCTATACCAATGAATAAAATTAAAGTGTCTGTTTGTAATGTCAAAATAACACTTACAGGTACAGGTACTTATTAAAACAAAAACAATTTTTAAAATTTTCGTCTGTTTTGAAACGGCTGGACCGATTTTGACGGGACTTTCACTGGCAGATAGCTGATGTTATAAGCAGTAACTTACACCGTAGTAACTTTTATTTTGGAAAAAGAATTAGGGTTAACAAATAATTAAAACCCAGAAAACTGTGAACAAAATCCGATTCAAATAAGTGTAATAAAGTAGGGCATAGATAATATAAGTATTAGTCGCGGGCACAGATAATATAATTATTATATGCGTATAGAAAGGTCTAAAGCATTTTTCCTTATTATTTTAAAGATACTTATTCCAAATGTTTGATATTGATAAATAAGGGGAGACCTCCCACCAGATAAAGTGTTTTGTTTAAGATTATATAAATAATTCAATTATTTACTTGTATAGTGTGGAAAAACAAAAAACAAACAATCAATAGCACGTATAAATTGTGTACTTTATTCGTACTCTAAATTGAAAATATGGGAGTGGGGCTACGTAGTACTATTTTTCATTTTGTGGGGGGTACTACTGCACCCGAGTTACTGTACCGAGTATTTCTACTTCGACAAAAACGGCGGCGTAATTTGCTTGATATCAAAGTTTAATTAGTTACGTTCCTCCAGCTAGAGTGAAATGGATATGTATTGTAAAGTTCCCCGACGTTCATTCTAGACGCGACGAATTCCCATTGGATCTTGAACTGGATCTGAAAATAGCGACACGTTGAATGGATTTAATAGATAGAATTTTTTTGGCAAATAATTAATATAAAAGTAGTAAATTATTTATATTCATCCGGAGAGACTAATAAAAAAAAATAAGAAAACTAAATAAATAATTTAAAAAACCCAGCTCTGGATATTTATGCGTTGATTTTTTTATAGAATGGGGTGACAAACAAACACTCCACGTGATTAGGATAAGGTAAGTGGATGCTGTGGCCCATAGACATCCACATTTATCCTCAATTAAGGATCAAAATGCAAATGCGTCACCCCTGAGGACTATGATAGAATGCCTCGTTTCCAGTAAAAAGGATTTTTTACGCTGGTATGCTGTGATAAAGAAGATACTTCTATTAGAGTATATATTGTTGAAATAAATGGTAATATGTTTCAGATATGAGCGGTGGAGGGAGCGGTATGAGGAGACTGCACGCGTTACGTCCACTGAAACCTACCGCTAACATCAGGTGGGCAAAATATAATACCAATAGAGTTGAGTAGCCATTGATAAGAATATCTAAATTTTTTATGGAATACGGGTAACTAACGAGTACGTAGTCCACCCGATGGTAAGAAACTACTGTTTTAAAATAGAAACCCTTAATGGTACTATTTTAAATATATTTTTCCGGACCGATACGACTTGGGGACCTTCATTAAATTACCTCACTTCTTTTTATAAGGCCGGCAATTCCCTTGGTGTTGCAGTTGCATATTGCAGCCGTCTTTAGCCCGCACTTCTATAAAAAAAATATTATTCAATAGATAGGTACTTTGACATTTGATTGTCGAGTATGATTTATGTTTTTATGCAATAATATTTTTATATAACTAAAATTATTACAGTCCATCTGATGATAAGTGACTGCCCCCATGAACACAGGCAACCAGCTTCAAACAAAGATGGCTACAGATGCGTTCTCACCTCTGAGGACTAAGATGGAATGCCTCATAGTCTGTTATAATAATAGAACTATATACCATTCGGACAGCAACACAGTTGTGCTGATACACCATTTTTAAACAGAAGTAAGTAAGAGGGCGGCGAAAGATGCACAAAAGTAGTTCAGACAACTATTATACAACTATAAAAGTGTTCAAATAAGGTACGAGTAATAAATGGACACGCATAAAGTGACATAGGGTGATTTCACGGGGTAGCATGAGCGTGGGCATGTGTTTGCATAGATGTCTTCACTGTTTATGTTGAGCGCATCACCAAACATACGTTATTGATGTATAGACAGCTTCAGGTATCCAAAGCAACGATGATTAACGCGGTTATGTATCATCAGAAAGCCGTCATGATCGTGATTGCCGTATACTCATACTCAATGTATCGCTCGGCTGCCCTAGAAGAAAGGCAGTTTCTCGGGTTTATGGACATTTGTATGTTTGTTTGTTCCTTGATCACTTGTAGCAGAATTACTTGGGGGATATTAAAATGTGAAATATCGAATATTATTTTTAACCTCTTTAGTGTTATATTTTATGGCAATAGTTCTAATACGGCGCTCCCAAAAACCAATGTATTGTTTTATTTTTTGTGTTAAATTTGATGTGTTAACTGAGAATAGAATCAATAAATTTTCGTTTAAAAAATCCTACACATGCCTCAATATCAGATGGTTTTTTTTTATAGGATAGGGTGACAAACGAGCGCACAGTCCACCTGATGGTAAGTAGTTACTGTGGCCCATAGACATCTACATCTATCCTCGATTACGAATCAAAATCCAATCATCAAAATCAAAATCAGATGCGTTGTCACCCGTGAGGACTAAGATGGAATGCCTCGTTTCCAGTAAAAAGGGTCTCCGGTTCTCTACACTCACCATACGAAATACAGCAGCATCAAGCTACTATTTCACGCTGGTATTCTGTGAGAGCGTGGTCCTTCCACGGTCGAGCCGACCCATTCGTGCTACAACTATACTACTAATATAACTGCAGCATGGCTCTACCACGTAAAATCTGTGTAAAAAGATGTGTAGTGTCAGTATTCATTCATTAATTTATATTCATTCATTACAACCTATAAGGTCCACTCCTGAACATAGGCCCCGTATATTGCCTAATAATTGGGATATTTGCCATAACTGCCACGCTTGGTAGGCGAGATGCCAACCGCAATTTCTTAAGATGCTACTATCCATCTCCGCTACAACTAACACTCATTCAATGTCGGTATAAACGAATAAATATGATTGAATATGATGAAATTTTTTTTATGTCTTTTGGTACTTCCTCATGAAGAATTTGCGTGGCAATCCTTCCCGTATTATTTACTGTTTTAAAAAGTAAAGTGAATTTTATTGGTTTATATATCACTGCAGTCGGGGTACTTCTTTTTAATACTGACTTGTTTTAAAAATAGTTTTAATTATCGTTGTACGTAGATCTTACAACCGCAGATCGTTCGTGGAGGCTGACGGAGGTTATCCCGGGGCAAATCATCACGACCCGGGACTGCTGTGGACCGGGCTGGGCCGCCGGTAGATTATCCCGCTCAGACTTATTCTCATCGAATAAACAAAACCACGCAACTTCCCTAAAGACTTCGCTGATATCCAAAGCGCTTTGTGACACCGAAACATTTGCAAAAACACGCCAACTCGTCGAACTGGTACAATGGATCCATCAAACATTACACGAAAACAACTTTTAATATTTGGATTCCGAAAGTTTTTGTGACAGAATAAATAATACTGACAGAATGAAACATTTTTCACCCGAAAATAAAACGACATTTTGTTTTAGGCAAAAGTACGTCGATGGGTACAAGTACAACGCAGTTTCCAATGTTACATCTAGAAATATTCTTTCAATCAAACCACCTCAAGTAAATCTACGTTCACACGAATATAGAGCTAATGATAAAAAACAAAACGTTTTAGCGAAAATTATTGCAGATTTGCACATGTTTTACAATTAATACTTAACTGATAGAGTTTATGCTGAAGACATTAATGTTAATTTAAGGTGATATGTAATAAATAAATACGATCAAACAATTTTAAATAAATGAATGCAGTAAAAAAGTGTAAAATTCGGTAAAATTATTGTATGTGGTGCATTATTTATAATCTTATAATATAAATCTCATTTTTTGGGCTGATTTTCCAATAATCAGATAAAAGGTTATTATAGAATTACAACATAAACGAATTAAGCAAATATAAACGTAAACGACACTCGCTGATGAGGAAATTAAAATTAAACCATAACGACATTACGACCCCGACCATATAGTCAAAACCTGCATCAGTTGTCGCTAGAATTTTATAGTTAGCTTTTAGTCACAAATCCTCTGATTTGGGCTTCCTATATAAGGAACGATGGGGCTGGCATACCTCTAAATATAGAAGTCCCAAGAAAGTAGAAAATTTTTTTATTAACTTTTGTATTCATTCAGGTTATAATTTATTTGAAAGGACTTTTATCTGACGATGGAAAAATCAGCCTTAATTATAGATATTTTATCTCACGAAGGCGACCGAACATTACTATGATTCTTGCTTAGCAGGGAAATCCGATGGTTCTCTGACGGGAAAGCTCATACTGAGGTCTGCTTAAGTACTAAGTGTTAGAGTGCTTAAGTACTAACATTGTCATTAAGTTTTTATGGATACTGACACCTATGGCTATTTAGGTTGTCTGAGTAAATAAATAAATGATAAAATAAAAATAACATTACGAACAATTTTTCTCCGTTAACTTCGATCACTTTGACTGACTAGCTTACACCTTATGTAATTACTTTGAGGCTTACTCACACTACAATATGCCAGTGAGCACCTACACAAGAAACGCCAACCATTGTGAGATAAAAATACTATATCTGTTCTTGTTTCTTGATAGAAATAAAATGTAATCGTCCAAGATACAATTATTATCTGTATCATTAAACATTCGTTTATTAGTTATTAAGCTTTTTGAAAGGATAACTTTCATTGTCTTTCTAGTCAATTTATTATTATGTGTTTAAATGCATGTGAAATTAAATAGTTATTAAATTCATTGTAAAAATAATATTTGTTTCATTTTAGAAAAATAACTGTTTTCGTGCGTTAAATGAATAAAAGGCAGGAAATGCTGATGATAGTTTAATTGCTATGGCAGTAACAATTATTAAACTATAGTCAGGATTTCCAAGAATGCGCCAACATTTGTATATAACAACCTTGAAATAAGGTTTAAGCTGGAAGGGTGCCGTTATTCGTGCGCTAAAAATTCTAACTCCCATCACCAGTCTGTGATATTTTTATTGCCAAAATTTTCATATGAAGATGAACAATTCAGTCAACATTGCCAATATTTGCGATTGCCAACCAACCTGCAGCTTTTTTTATTATTTTAAGCGTTTAATAGAAAGATGCTGCCTTTGGTCGCCTCTTACTTAATCATCATCTTACGGAACCATATGGGGCATTGGATGCTCTTCCGCCGCCATAAAGAAAATAAATCAATAAACGTTTTTAATTGCAAATGACACATCTTCTCGTCAGGTATGCCTCAAAACCTGAATACTAGAATGTACAACCAGTGCGTGTTGCCAGTGATGACTTACGGATCTCAAATGTGGTCCTTCACTGCTGGCCGTATGAAGACGCTCAAGGTCGCTCAGCGAGCTATGGAGAGGGCTATGCTCAGGGTTTCTCTGCGTGATAAACTTAGAAATGAGGATATCCGCATTAGAACCAGAGTGACCGACATAGCCCAACGGATTAGTAAGCTGAAGTGGCAATGGGCCGGCCATATAGCTCGAAGAACCGACTGACCTCGAAGACCGACGCTGAAGCGTATTTTGGTGACAGTATAGTACACACAGTGACAGTACAGTGACAATAAAGACGGTATTATAATTGTAATAGTACGTTTCGCCGCTATCACTTATTGAATTGAAAAGTCGGAAAGTGCGAACAAGGTATGCATATCCATACCTTCGACTTACCAATGGAAGGTACCTACAATATAGGTACATGCTTCTGGGTTTAGTGCTACTCGGAACAGAATGTAAAATCTTCGATCACGTTCGAATCTACAAACAAACTTCTTGAAACAGCACATTGGACATATAGGTATTAAGTTGAAGTGAAAAAGGGACTAACAGTCCTCCTAATGTTAGTAGATATTGCGGCGTATGGACACCTGTAAGCAACTTCAAACAAAGAAGAGATGACATAGATGCGTCACCGGTTTTCCTAACAGCCTGTAAATATACTTTCTCCCTAAGTCCTTTAGACTGAAACACAGAATCACAGCAACGCTCGTGCTGCTGCTTGATAGCAGAAACAGGTAAGAGAGTGGACTCAGTCCATAGAATACTATAATACACAATAGAATGGCTGTCAATTTTATTTTATACGAAGATTGGCGTCGCCAAACCCGATTTGCTGTATTGACAGACTGAGTAAATTTACACATTTTAGACTTTTGATTAATGTTCAAGATCATCATTTAAAAAAAAACGTTTAAATTTTAATACATATTTATTTGTAAATAGGGTGCAATTTGGCATTTTCTAAATAATTTGCATGCGAAATTTGGAAACGATTGTAACGTCAAAACACATCTCGTGTTGACATTTATGCGTGTGAATTGACGTGTTAGTGACATTTTAGTGGCTACGCGGGCTCCGTCCTCTCACCCGTTTTATTATGTATATATTATAGTATTCTATGATTTAGCCACACCACGGACTCCTGGGCCAGAAAGGAGTCCTACCATCAGTGAATATGGATAGTGCACCTGGTAATAGCTTGCAAATAAGCCGAGCTTAATAAAAGCAATTTATTTCATTAAAGATAGACACATTTGTATAGATGTAGGTACATATACGTAAGATCTTCTTTTGTCGTTTGGAAATTATACAATATTTTTAAAAAATTGAGAAGAACGAAGATCTGTTTATTGAAGATAATTTATGTTAATATTCTTTGTGTCAATACGTCCACTATTTGGTTATACTTGTTAATCAAAATATTGCAAAGCTATACTAAATTTTTATTTAGGAAACGTGGTTTTGATCTTTGTAGCAAATACTCCTAACGAAACACTTACAGTAATCAGCTATTTAAGCGTTCAAAAACGTGGCTTAAAATATTTCTCTGAACTCATTTACTAACCTTGGTAGTAATTTCACTTTTTTCATAACTAAATAAAAGTTAACTTCCTTTTGATCATCTACGTAGTTTTTAATTTATTTAATGGAACTAAATATAAAATAACGTTTCATTCCTAAAAATTATAACAAATTGTTTAGGCCAAATCGTAACAACTTAAAACTTGCGAAAACACTCGTCTCGGGCGATAAACCTCTTTGACGGTTTGAGCCGGCGGGCATTTGTTTCGCGGGCTGCGGCCGTGCCAATTAGTCTGGAACAATCAATTGTCCGCGACGGCCGTGTCGGTTAGATGTCGGGAAATTACGTTAGAATCGTTAGGTCGCGTTAACACCACCTCCTTGCGTTGTTTCATTTCGTTCGTGTACGTGACAACGAGGCTTTCCTGAGTTTGAGTGATTAATTTAACTTCGATTGCCATTAATTTGCGTCGACGAGTTGCTTGTGTGGTATTTTAATATCGTACAAAGGAATTTTTGCATTGTCGGGTGGAACGCTAGAACTTTGTGATCCGGAGGAGATCGCGTTCCTCTTCGATTATAGTTTGTGCTAAGTGACGTTAGACTTGAGTTCAGATAACGGTGAACGCCCACTGGAGTATTTGCACCTTGTGGAGCAGGGCAACGCACGTGGGTCTGCTGGTCGATTACATCGGTGACGTCAGGTTACATTACACACTTTCTTACACCACTCACACCTACCATTTACATGCCCCTGACGGTACCTTGTAATCGACCCTACCTCCGGAACTCGGTAAGTTTGTGTTTGCTTATCCAGCCATTACATACTAATTATCCATAGGCCATCTGGGCCCGAACCCTCTGGTTGCCCGTCGAGTTGGGTTACTGATGGGCCCTAGCCCAGTCAACTTATGTCGGGGCAACTGAGGGCCGTAACATTTTCTGCTAGCAGAGCGTGGTTGATTGTTTCTTCAATCACGCCCGGCCGTAATAATAGTAATTTTTTTTTGTTTTGTTAGCGGATCGGTGGTTAGAACCACGCCCGTTAGGCTGCGTAAGCGGGAGTGTAGTTTAAGGTTAAGTACCTACGCGTCAGGTATTTCGGGTAAGTAGATTAAATTGCCGAAGGGTCGGTCTCCTGAGCGAGGCATCTTTGCTGGCCGACTGTAGTGTGTACTTATGTGTGTAATACAAATTACTATTAATATAATTTAATAGTAATTTGAATTTAGTAGTTATGCCATCGCACAAGCCACCGGCGCTTCGCCTACAGGCGGAGCTGCGCTGGGCCGCGAATGCCCATACCTTGATGGGCGACCCGATCGGGTCCATAGTTTAGAGAAGCGGCTCGAGCAGGTCATGGCCCGAAGGGCCGTAGTGGAGGAGGCTTGCACTGAGCTTTTGGCCTCGGATGTCGGAACAGGGAGTCCTAGACTCCTGCCTCGCGGACTACGAGCAATTCTTTTCGCTCACGGACGACATGATCGAGGCGGGGCCAAGTATGCTAATGAAGCGTGTGAAGCTCGGCTGAGTGGCCTGCCCGAGTCCCCTCGGAAGCAGCCTACTCAGCCGGAGCTGTTGGGACGACTCCCAACTCTGGACCTGCCAAGGTTCTCCGGGGTCTTCTCCGACTGGCTGACCTTTGTTGGCCTTTTTGATAGCCTAGTGGACGCCCGGAGGGACTTGACACCAAGCCAGAAGATGGCGTACCTCCTGGCCTCACTGGAGGGGGGCCTTGGGCGTCGTCGGCCATTTGAAATTATCGGCCGACGCCTACCAGGCCGCCCGGGACCTCCTCGCAGGAAGGTACGCCAACGTCCGGCGAATTGCGGAGGCGCCCCCCTGCTCCT